CAGTGCTCATTAAGTGCTGAGAGATCTTCAAAGATCTTGAATACACACATTTTCAAGTTAAAATCTTATATAAACATACTCCACCATCCAACAAAGGATATTCTGACAAATGAGATTCACAATAACCAAAGGCAGATAAATTTGCTAAGATCACAACAAATTAATTTTTATTGTTGTTAGGTGCCGTCGAGTTGATTCAAGCTCATAGTGATCCTATGTACAACTGAATGAAACACTGCCCGGTCCTGCACTTATCCTCACAGTCATTTTTATGCTTGAACCCATCGTTGCAGCCCCTGTGTCAATCCATCTCATTGAGGGTCTTCCCCTTTTTCACTGACCACCTACTTTACCAAGCATGATGTCCTTCTCCAGGGAGTGATCTTTACTGATAACATGTCCAAAGTATGTGAGATGAAGTCTTACCATCCTTGCTTCTAATGAACATTCTGGCTGTCCTTCTTCCAAGACAGATTGGTCGTTCGTTCTTTTGGCGGTCCACAGTGTATTCAGTATTCTTTGCCAACACCATCATAATTCAAAGTCATCAATTCTTTGGTCTTCCTTATTCACTACCCAGCTTTCTCATGCATATGATGCGATTGAAAATACCATGGCTTGGGCCAGGCGCACTTTAGTCTTCAAGGTGATGTCTTTGCTTTTTAACACTTTAAAGAGGTCTTTTGCAGCAGATTTGCCCAATGCAATATGTCATTTGATTTCTTGACTGCTGCTTCCATTGGCATTGACTGTAGATCAAAGTAAAATGAAATCTTTAGCAACTGAAATCTTTTCTTCATTTATCATCATGTTACTTATTGGCCCAGTTGTGAGAAGTTTTGTTTTCTTTATGTTAATCCATACTGAAGGCTGTGGTCTTTGATCTTCATCAGTAAGTGCTTCAAGTCCTCTTTACTTTCAGCAAGCAAGGCTGTGTCATCTGCATATCACAGGTTGTTAATGAGTCTTCCTCCAATCCTGATGCCGCGTTCTTCTTCACGTAGACCAGCTTCTTGGATTATTTGTTCATCATACAGATTGAATAAGTATGGTGAAAGGATACAACCCTGACTTTAAACCATACAGTATCCCCTTTTTCTGTTCGAATGATTGCCTCTTGATCTATGTAGAGGTTCCTCAGGAACACAATTAAGTGTTCTGGAATTCCCATTTGTCACAATGTTATCCATAATTTGTTATGATCCACACAGTCGAATGCCTTTGCATAGTCAATAAAACACGGGTAAACATCTTTCTGGTATTCTCTGCTTTCAGCCAGGATCCACCTGACATCAGCAATGATATCCCTGGTTCCACATCCTCTTCTGAATCTGACCTTAATTTCTGGCAGTTCCCTGTCAATATACTGCTGCAACTGCTTTTGAATGATCTTCTGCAAAATTTTACTGGCATGTGATATTAATGATATTGTTCGATGATTTCTACATTCGGTTGGATCACCTTTCTTTGGAACAAGCATAAATATGGATCTCTTCCAGTCGGTTGGCCAGGTAGCTGTCTTCCAAATTTCTTGGCATAGATGAGTGAGCACTCCAGTGCTGCACCCATTTGTTGAAACATTTCAATTGGTATTCTGTCAATTCCTGGAGCCTTGTTTTTCACCAGGGTCTTCAGTGCAGCTTGGACTTCTTCCTTCAGTACCATTGGTTCTTGATGGTATGCTACTTCCTGAAATGGCTGAACGTTGACCAATTCTTTTTGGTATAGTGACTCTGTATATTCCTTCCATCTTCTTTTGATGTTTCCTGCGTCGTTCAGTATTTTGCCAATAAAATCCTTCACTACTGCAACTTGAGGCTTGAATTTTTTCTTCAGTTCTTTCAGCTTGAGAAACACCGAGCGTGTTCTTCCCTTTTGGTTTTCTAACTCCAGGTCTTTGCCATGTCATTATAATATTTTACTTTGTCTTCTCGAGCCACACTTTGAAATCTTCCATTTAGCTCTTTTCCTTCATTGTTTCTTCCATTTGCTTTAGCTACTTGATGTTCAAGAGCAAGTTTCAGAGTCTCTTCTGACATTCATTTTGGTCTTTTCTTTCTTTACTGTCTTTAATGACCTCTTGCTTTCTTCATGTATGATGTCCTTGATGTCATCCCACAACTTGCCTGGTCTTCAGTCATTAGTTTTCAATGCATCAAATCAATTCTTGAGATGGTCTCTAAATTCAGGCAGGATATACTCAAGGTCGTACTTTGGCTCTTGTGGACTTGTTTCAATTTTCTTCAGCTTCAGCTTGAACTGGCACATGAGCAATTGATGGTCTGTTCCACAGTCGGCCCCTGGCTTTGTTCTGACTGATGATACTCAGCTTTCCCATCGTTTCTTTCCACGGGTGTAGTCGATTTGATCCCTGTGTATTCTAGCCAGCGAGGTCCAGGTGTATAGTCACCATTTATGCTGTTGAAAAAAAAGTATTTGTAATGAAGAAGTCATTGGCCTTGCAAAATTCTATTATGTTATCTCCAGCATCATTTCTATCACCAAGGCCATACTTTCCAACTACTGATCCTCCTTCTTTGTTTCCAACTTTCATATTCCAATCACCAGTAATTATCAATGCATCACGATTGCATGTTTGATCAATTTCAGACTGTAGAAGTTTGTAAAAATCTTCAATTTCTTCATCTGTGGCCTTAGTGGTTAGTGCATAAATTTGAATAATAGTCGTATTAACTGGTCTTCCTTGTAAGCATATGGATTTTATCCTATCACTGACAGCACTGCACTTCAGGGTAGATCTTGAAATGTTCTTTTTGATGATGAATGCAATGTCATTCCTCTTCAATTTTCAATCCCAGTATAGTAGACCATATGATTGTCTGATTCCAAATGGCCAATACCAGTCCATTTCAGCTCACTAATGCCTAGGATATTGATGTTTATGCGTTCCATTTCATTTTTGATGATTTCTAATTTTCCTAGATTCATACTTTGTACATTCCACCTTCTGATTATTAATGGGTGTTTGCAGCTGTTTCTTCTCATTTTGAATCAGCAAATGAAGCTCCCAAAAGCTTGACTTCATCCACGTCATTAAGCTTGACTCTACTTTGAGGAGGCAGCTCTTCCCTAGTCGTCTTTTGAGTGCCTTCCAACCTGAGGGGCTCATCTTCCGGCACTATATCAGACAATATTCTGCTGCTATTCATAAGGTTCTCACTGGCTAATTCTTTTCAGAAGTAGACAGCTTGGTCCATCTTCTTAGTCTGTCTTAGTCTGGAAGCTCAGCTGAAACCTGTCCACCACGGGTGACTCTGCTGGTATCTGGATACCAGTGGCATAGCTTCCAGCATCACAGCAACATGCAAGCCCCCACAGTACAACAAACTGACAGACGCATGAGGGACAAATTAATTAGTTGCCTAAAATGCTCAAGATTTCCACCCAAATTTACATTCTATCATTTTTTTACTATTTTTACACACACACACACAAAACACATACAATATCAATCTTAATGTTTATGAAAATTAATGTTATTAGAGGCTATTTGAACAGTAATACCTATAAAGATTACAGGATGCAATTAGATTTACTAATATCTATCTGCCGCCTTTCTGTTGGAAACCCTGGTGGCATAATAGTTAAGAGCTATGGCTGCTAACCAAAAGGTCAGCAGTTCAAATCTACTAGGCGCTCTTTGGAAACTCTATGGGGCAGTTCTACTCTGTCCTTTAGTGTCGCTATGAGTTGCAATCGACTTGACGGCAGCAGGTTTATGGGCCTTTCTATTCCATAGTACTTATATATAATTGGTGGCCTGGACTGTTGAAGATTCTGGTGAAGATTCCATTACAGCATAAATGTGACTACAAAAGAGTGGATGGAAAAGAATTAATGTTTCAAGGATTTCTTCAAACTCCCATTAGGATCTCATGGCCAACATTTAATTCCATATGCTTCAGGAAAAAAAAAAGATAGAATGCATCGAAAGCAACTGGAAGAAAATAAAGATTCAGAAAGGCTGAAATACAAAAGCAGAAACAGAACTAGGGTCAGGAGAGTTCAGCTATACTTATCCCATTTGATGCCTCAACAAAAAAAGTTAACTTGTAAGTCTTTCAAAAATATACTCAGTCTTAACTCACTAATAAGCCATTAATAAAACGAGTCTGATTTAGTCTCAGTCTTGTTTATGTAGCACATTCACACAAGTTCCTCTAACACTGTAATTCGGCCTGATTACCAAATCTCAATTCTAGAGAGAGAAAGTTACTGTAGGAACATTGGCAGTGTATCAACTGAAGGTAAAAACTGAATAATACACAAATAAAATATATCTAGTCTAAGACATTGCCAACATCATTTGATTTTTTAAAGCTATGCAGTTTGCCCCCAGATAAATTGCTTTCAAAATAGCAACTCATTTATCACTAAAGCAATTACATGAACTAGAAGAGTCAATATAAATGGAACATAAATATTCCACAAAACCATGACATTACAGACATAAAATTTGTATTTCTAATTTAAGAACAAATTTGACAAATATAAAAACTTTGCAGTGGTCGTGTACCATATTGTTATGCAAATGCCTTTTATGTTTCTTTGCCAACTGTGCCCTCCTCCCCAAGAGGTATTTTCATAAGCACACTATGCTAATTTTTTTACAGCAACATGTAAAGAAAAATTGCCATAGCAGCGCTTATGAAAATATCTCACGGGGGGAGGGCACGGTTAGCAAACAAACATAGAAGGCACACGTTATTTGCGCAAAAATACAGTATAAGCTTGAGATTAATAGTATTGTACAAAATGCTATATAATAAAATTGCCAGAATGATAATTTGATTTTCAAGCATCCAGAAAAGATAAACAGAACATAATCAAACAGGTTGATAAATATCAACTATGAGACCTTGTCCTTTCCTACCAATTTTTATTCCATGACTTCCAATTCAGTTTTTTCCCTCTTTTTTGGAATGCTGTCATTATAGTTAAGTTTTATCCCATTCTTCCATCTTTATACAGTTACTCACGTCCTCTCACGCTCCTCATCAGCATGTTGCAGATAGACAGACCCACTCTGATCCTTCACAGACTCCTCTAATGGGATCAACAGATCTTCTAGTTCTTTCTGCTGTGACAGGATAAAATCCAATTCTTGTTCCAACCTGAATAAATCAAGTCATCAGAAGAGCAGATGAAAGAAACTTGGAGTGGCAAAATAAATGCCAGTAAACTACCAAAACCAAACCCATTGCCACTGAGTTGATTCCAACTCTCAGTGACCCTACAGGACAGAGTAGAACTGCCCCATGGGGTTTCCAAGGCTATAAATCTTGACGGAAGCAGACCGCCACATCTTTCTCCTGCAGAATGGCTGGTGGGTTTGAACCACTGACCTTTCAGTTAGCAGCTGAGTACTTAACCACTGCACCACCAAGGTTCCTTCAATAAACTATGTCAAAAAAAAATGGACAAAGAGATCTTTAATCTTACAACCTAGAAAATCAAAGAGCTTCTACCTTTTCTGATCCAGTTTCACTTTTTCCACTTCTCCATGTAAAGTAATAATCTATAAAGAAAAGTAAGAATACAGTAATGTAAATAATTAAATGTATATTATAATTTTAGAGCAATATAAATTTTCTCAAACACACTTCAAATATGAAATATTTTCTAATTCAGGGCACTTAATACCAAAGAAAATATTTTTTGAGTTGATAACCAGGACTGGAATAGAAAAATAACCATTCAATACAGGTGTAGTTTCTTGTGTTAATCTAAAAATACTTGTACAATGTAGGTTGAATAGTGAGACTATCTTCTCACCTTCTCACCATTCTCAATCAATGTACGGTCCCAAGCATTGACCTGGGTGGCCTGGTGAAGAAAGTGTTTCTCATGCTCCTCTAGCTCAAGGTTCCACTTGTTTATCAGACCCTCCAGCTTACCGTATGTCATCACAGGAGTTACAATCGAACTAAAAAAGAAAAGAATACAGAGAACTGTGTATAGTATGATCATATTTTTATTTAAAAAGCAACAACACCGTAGGATTTTGAGAAGAAAATGGCATGTGAGGAATACCTCAGACCCTCTCCCCAGCAAAACAACCATAAGTGGTGAAAATTATATATATAACAACAACAACAATAACAAAAAGACATTCAAAGGCTCTAGAAATTACCCTAAGGTAATACAGCAAATGAAGAAACATTTATTCAAGAAAACTTATGAAATCCCACTAAGAACAACAAAAGTCTGTGTCATTTGAGCCACAACCTGTTCCCTCCCTTGCCCACACCACCCTCCTCAACTCAGCATGATGGAAGCTCCATTCCAGGTGGGTGTGGCCAAAAAGACAGGACTAATTCTACCCAAAGCTCCCAGTCAAGGGCTAAGGTATCTCTCCAAGAGGGGAAAGTTACCAGGTATCTCTCCAAGAAGGGAAATGTACTTCTCATCCTCCCAGCTTCATATTACAAAGGCAATGAAGCCAAGAACTGGGGGCCCCCACCCTCCAACCAGTCTCTACTCTTAATAGGAAGTTTACCCAAGGCTCAGTAGGCTGAGAATACTGAGGTCCACATCCACCTTGTCCTATCATACACTTAGTGTAGAGTGTTTATTTGAAGAGGCAAGCTGAGAAGACCAGAGACTGTCATGCCCACCCAGCTCATAAAGCAGGTGTGTCATTTGGAGATTAGTGGGCAATTTTCTCAACTTCAGCTCCTAAGCATGGGCTCAAAGATTTTTCCCAGAAGAAAAGGTAGACCATAAGAACAGAGAGCTCCCAAGCCATCTCTAAACGACTGACTTCAGTTGGAACAGAGTGTGGGGAAGTCAAAGCTGAAGGACACTCTCAAAAACAATGGAGATTTTAAATGGTAAGCGATTAAGAGGAGGGTGGTAGCTCCATGAGAGCAACAAGCTAAACCATAGCCAAGATAGTTTACCAGAAAGAAACAAGGAAAGAGAAAGCTAAAAAGAGCATCCCCCCAAGGTCAGAACAAACCTCAAACACTGACCTCAAAAACTACCCCTGCAAAGGGGCTCAAATTTAATTGGATCAGAACACAGAGTAATTTACATCTCAGGACATTGTCAAAAACCATAAAGAAATCAACCAGCAATTAGTGAAGCCTAACAGTTGAGTATAATACCAAACAAAGCAGACAGCTTAACAGAGAGAACAGGGGATGAGACAGTCAAAGAGAGTCCTGCTAAAACTACTTTCACTCCAGGGTGACTGTGTACATGCCCAGTGCTGCACTATCTTAGCAGTGAAATCAGAAGCTTCACACTCTGGGGGAAAAACAGCCCAGTCACATCAGTAACAAATAAACAAGAAAACAACAACAACAACAAGTCATGGAAGGGGGGATCAATATCCAGAGTCACTACAATATATTACCTAAAATGTCTACTTTTCAACAAAATATTATGAAACACGCAAAGAAACAGAAAACTGTGACCCATACAAAAGAAAAAAAATTAGGCAACAGAAATTGCCCATGAGATGGCCAAAAGACCTCAAAGCAGCCATTATAAATATGTTCAAAGAACTAAAAGAAGCTATATCTAAAGAAGCAAAGAAAAATATAATGAGAGTGTCTTATCAAATAGAGACTATAAATAAACAGAAATAATAAAACAGAATCAAATGAAATCCTGGAGTTGAAAAGTAACTGAATGAAAAATTCACTAGGGAGACTCAACAGTAGATTTGAACTGGCAGAAGAATCAGCAAACTTGAAGATATATCAGTAGAGATGATGCAATAAACACACACACACACACACACACACACACACACACACGGAAACGAATGAAGAAAAATGAACAGAGCCTCAGAGAAATGTGGGACACCATGAAGCACACCAATATACACATAATAGGAGTACCACAAAGAGAGGCAAGTGCCTGGGAAGTGCAAATGGTTAATGTACTTGGCTTCTAACCAAAAGGCTGGAGGTTTGAGTCTACCCAGAGGTGCCTCAGAAGAAAGGCCAGGCAATCTACTTTTGAAAAATCAGCCATTGAAAATACTATGGAACACAGTTCTACTCTGACACACATGGGGTTGCCAAGAGACGGGATTTATTTGACAACAACTGGTATACAAGGAGAAGAGAGAGAAAAAGGAACAGAGAAAAATATACAAAGACACAATGCCTGAAAACTTCCTGAATCTTATTAAAAAATTAAGTGCCACATCCAAGAAGCTCAATGAACTCCAGATAAGATAAATGCAAAGAAATCCATCCCAGATGTATTATAATGAAAATGCTAAAAGTCAAAGACAAAGAGAAAATCTTGAAAGCAATAGGAGAAAAACAATTCATAACCTACAAGGGAACCCCAATAAGATTAACAGCTGACTTCTCATCAGAAATTATGGAGGCCAGAAGGCAGTGGGATGACATATCCGAAGTGCTGAAAGAAAAAGATTGTTAACTAAGAATCTTATACCCAGTAAAAATATCTTTCAAAAATAAAGGTAAAATAAAGACATTTCCAGATAAACAATAACGTATAGAACTTGTCACTAGCAAATCTTCCTTATAAGAAATACTCGAAGGAATTCTTCAGGCTGAAAGCAAGTGACACCAGACAGTAATTTGAACCCAAAGGAAAAAATAAAACTTATGTAATTATATAATACAGTAAATGCATCTTTCACCCTCTTCTCTTATTTGATTTAAAAAAGTAATTATATAAAACAAAATGTATATAATTACATTGGTTGTACTTATAACATGCAGAAATGTAGTATACTTGATAATAACAGTACAAAGGAGTTTGGAGAGAGCAAAGCTGTATTAAAGAGATGACACCAGATGGTAACTCAGATCCACAAAAACAAAGGAAAAGAACTGTATTAGTTTCCTAGGACTGCCATAACAAAGTTTCCAAAAACTTGGATAGCATATGTCATAGATTGAATTGTGTCCCCCGCAAATATCTGTCAACTTGGCTAGGTCATGATTCCCAATATCGTATGATTGTCTACCATTTTGTAATCTGATGTGATTTCCCTATGTGTTATATACTCTATCACTATGATGTAACAAAATGGATTAGCAGCAGTTACACTGATGAGGCCTACAAGATTAGACAGGCCAGAAGGCAGTGGGATGACATATCCAAAAAATATGGTGAAAAAATCACTAATGCAATTAAACTGTTACAACAGAAAATATTCACTTAATGCAAAACAAAGCAGTAATGGAGGAACAGAGGAACAAAACATATAAAAAACAAATAGCAAAATGGAAAAAGTCCTTCCTTATCCGTAACTACATTAAATATAAATGGATTAAACAAGCCAATTAAAGGGCAAATATCAGCAGAATGGATTAAAAAAACATGATCCAACTATAATACCTACAGCAACCAATAAGAAAAATATACAAAGCGATACACTAAAAAATACTACAAATAGAACAATATGGAACTCTAAAAAATGTTAAAATACCCTACAGGAAAATATGAAAAAAGACAGAAGAACAAAAAACAGAAGTAGTAAACAAAAACAAATAATAAAAAGGCAGAATTAAGCCACGACACATTAATAATTACCTTAAATGTAAATGAGCTAAATACAATTAAAAAATCTTGGTAAAATGGATAAAGAATATGATCCAACAATATTCTGTCTCCAAGAAACTCATCTCAAATACAAGAACATAGATAGGTTGAAAGTAAAAGGATGGAAAAAGATACACCTTGCAATATCATTTTTTAAAAAGAATTGGTTATGTTAATATCAGATAACACAGACTTCAGAGAAAAGAAAATTACCAGAGACAAAAAGGGACTTTACATAATGATAAAGGAATCAACAAACCAGGAAGGCTAACAAATCCTAAATATACAGACCTCAAACAACAGAGCCTCCAAACACGTAAAGAAAAAACTGATAGAGTCAAAGGAAGAAACAGACAAATCCACAATTATACCTGGGGACTTCAGTAACTAATAGAACTACTAAACAGAAAAGCAGAAAGGATATAGAATCTGAAAACACAGTGAAGCAGCAGGATCTAACTGACATACAGGCAGTCCCCAGATTACAAATGAGTTCTGTTCCCAAGTCTGTCTTTCAGTTGAATTTGTATGTAAATCAGAACAGTTAGGTACAGTTCGTATCTAACATCAGTTAGTCAAATGTTTGTCTTATCATATAGTATATAGTGTACCTTTCTATGCATAAGAAACATTAAAGAAACACTTCCAGATACGCTAAAACATCTTTAACATAATAATACAGTAAAAATAATAATAAAGTTTTGATGCACGTCACAAAGTAGCACCCGTTTGTTATTACAAACCATTGTATGTACCCTGAATTTTTACTATAATAGACTTTATGGGGGTTGGTTTGTAAGCACGGGTTGTATGTAAGTCGGACATTTGTAACCTGGGGACTGCCTGTATATAGAACACTCAAAAGCAGAATACACAATTTCCAAGTGCTGTCTAGTGGATTCTGACTCCTGGTAACCCCATGTGTTACAGACTAGAACTGCTCCATAGGATTTTTTGGGTGTAATCATTATGGAAGCAGATCACCAGGCCTTTCTTCTGTGGTGCTGCGGGGTGAGTTCAAACCACCAACTTTTAAGTTAGTAGTTAAGCGCAAACCATTTGTACCACCCAGGGAACATAAGAGGATATGACCAAGAAAAAAAACCTGTTGTCGCTGAGTACATTCCAACTCATAGCGATCCTATGGGACAGAACAGAACTGTCCGTAGGGTTTCCAAGGAGCGGCTGATGGATTGGAACTGCCGACATTTTGGTTAGCCGCCGAACTCTTAACCACTGTGCCACCAGGGCTCCTTAAGAGGATATACTGATGGCAAATAAGCACATGAAAACATGTTCAACATCATTAACCACGAAGGAAATGTAAATTAAAACGCAATAAGGTATTACTACATGCATCAGGACTGGAGGAAAACTCATTAACAACCTGCAATAGGCAGATGACAATCTTGCTTGCTGAAAGCGAAAGGGTCTTGAAACACTGATGAAGATCAAAGACTACAGCCTTAGGTATGGATTACACCTCAACATAAAAAAAACAAAAATCCTCACAACTGGAACAATAAGGAACATCATGATAAATGGAGAAAAGATAGAAGTTGTCAAGCATTTCATTTTACTTGGATCTACGGTCAATGCCCATGGAAGCAGCAGTCAAGAAATCAAATGATGTATTGCATTGGGCAAATCTGCTGCAAAAGACCTCTTTCAAGTGTTAAAAAGCAAAGATGTCACTTAGAGGACTAAGGTACACCTGACCCAAGCCATGGTATTTTCAATCACCTCACATGCATGCAAAAGCTGGACAATGACTAGTAAGACCGAAGAAGAATTGATGCCTTTGAATTATGGTGTTGGCGAAGAATACTGAATATACCATGGACGGCTAGAAGAAGGAACAAATCTGTCTTGGAAGAAGTACTGCCAGGATGCTCCATAGAAGCTAGGATGGCGAGATTTGGTCTCATGTACTTTGGACATGTTATCAGGAGGGATCAGTCCCTGGAGAAGGACATCATGCTTGATAAAGTAGAGGGTCATCAAAAAAGAGGAAGACCCTCAATGAGATGGACTGACACAGTGGCTGCAACAATGGGATCAAACATAGCAACAACTGTGAGGATAGCGCAGGACCAGTCAGTCTTTCATTCTGTTGTACATGGGGTCGCTACAGTCAGAATTGACTGCAGGACACCAAACAACAATAACATATCTATCAGAATGGTTAAAATAAAAAATAGCAAAATTTATTAATAAACTAAACATGCAATGACCATACCACCCAGCAGCTGAACTGCTGGGCATACATCGCAGAGAAATGAGACTTAAGTTCATGAAAAACCTGTATACAAATGTTCATAGCAGCTTTATTCATAATAGCAAAAAACTGGAAACAACACAGATGTCCTTCAACAGGTGAATGGTTAAACGAACAGTAGTATATACGTAATACCATGGAATACTACCCCTAAATAAAAAAGAACAAATTATTGATGCATAAGACAACTTGGATGGATCTCAAGGTATTATGCTGAATGAAAAACGTCAATTCCAAAAGGTTACATACTGTATGATTGCATTTATACAACATTCTGGAAATGTCAAAAATATAGAAATGGACAACAGATAAGTTGTTGCCTGGGGTCAGGGAAAGGGGTGAGAGGGTGGATGGGGGAGGAAAAGTGTGGCTATAAAAGGGCAACAGGAAGGATTCTTGTGGTGATGGAAATTGTTCTATATCTTGACAGTATCAATGTCAATATCTTGGCTGTGATATCATATTACAGTATTCTACTATCATTGGGGAAACCTTGGTAAGGGGTATGCAGGATGTTTTTATATTATTTCTTATAACTATATGTGAATGTGCAATTATCTCAAATTAAAAAACAAACAAATATTAACAAAATTCTAACTCAAAAAAAAGAAAAGACTTACTGGTCTGACAGAGACTAGAGAAACTTCGAGAGTGTGGCCCTTGGACACCCTTTTAACTTAGTACTGAAGTCACTCCTGAGGTTCACCCTTCAGCCAAAGATTAGACAGGCTCGTAAAACAAAATCAGACTAAATGGGCACACCAGCCCAGGCGCAAGGATGAGACGGCAGGAGGGGACAGGAAAGCTGGTAATGGGGAACTCAAGGTCGAGAAGGGGAGTGGTGACATGTCATGGTGTTGGCAACCAATGTCACAAAACAATATGTGTATTAATTAACGAGAAACTAATTTGCTCTGTAAACCTTCATCTAAAGCATAATAAAAAAGAAAATAAATATTAAGGAGGAACATAATATAATATGTAAGAATACAGGCTCTGGAGCTCTTCTGTCTAAATTTTAATCCTGTCTCACCTATTACAAAGTGTGACCATGGGCAGGTTATAAAATTTCTATGTGTTCCAGTTTTCTCTCTATAAAATGGAAACACAAATAGTTCCTACTTCACAGGGTTATTGTGAGGATTAAATTATATAAAGTTTGTAAAGCATTTGTTATTTTGCTAAGCATATAGTAATTGTACAATAAATGTTAGCTATTGTTAGTAATAGTAATAATTGCATTATAATGGTATTCAGAAGGCAAAGCAGTGCTGTTGGTTGTTCGACTTCCTCAGCAACAGAAATTCTTTTTCCAACTGTTCTCTTGTCTCTAAGTCATTTATCTAACTTTGAAATACTATTCTAAAGCTATACAAGCAAACCATGCCTTGTACATGATAAATAAAATGAAATTCATGTGAATTGTCAAATAAATAGGCTTACTTAACAGTCCAAGTAGAAGGTACAGAAGTAACATTGACTGGAACAGTGTTATTAATCCCAGTTGATGTCAGTGGTTTTAGATTGAAGGTAAAGCCACTGGTGGTTGTAGTAGTGGTGGTGGTGGTGATAGTGGTGGTAGTAGTGGTTGAAGTTGTAGCTGAAAAATAAAATGCAACATGTTTGTAAGAAATGAGAAACTGATTTCATTTAGTCCTTGATCATTCAGATTAAAAACTCTAGAGGCATTTCTAAAATGTGAATTTGAATTCAAAGTCATGAATTTGAACTCAATGTTGTTGTAATATGAAGTAATATATGGCAGGCCAGGTATCTGAGTTAACCCTCCTGCTGAAAACTAAAAATCCTGGATAAATCCACAGAAAAATAAAACTTATAACCTAACCAGCTCTATAACCATTAAGAAAACTGAATCAATCCTCAAAAATCTTCCCATAAAGAAAACCCCAGGCCCAGATGATTTCACTGGTAAGTTCTAAACTTTTAAGGAAATACAAATTGCTATCTTACAAAAACCTTTGTACATCTATATCTTTGCATACTTACATGAATACATCCGTGTAATTAATTCCTAGAAATGAAATAGCTGGATCAAAGGGTCAGTATACTTTAAATTTTAATATATTTTGCCAAATTGTCCTAACCAAAAATATTTTGCCAATTTACATTCCTATCATTAGGGGAAAGTGCCTGTTTCTCTATATTCTAGCCAATATTAGTCATACATCTTTGCCAATCTAACAGGCAAAAGCCTCTCAAAGTTTTATCTATAACTCAGACTGCTCTCGTATGTGTTTTTTTCTGTTGTGCCCCTACTAGAATGCCTTACTTTCTATAAATAAAATCCTAAGTATACTTTATGGTCTACCTCAAATTCTTCCTTCCCCATGTTTATAGCCTACTTCTCTCCTAGTCATATTTATCTCTCACTTCTCTGAACTTCTGTAGCACTTTTGATTCTTACTACGCACTGAATACTTAAAGAACAATGCACAGGAAATTCTGGTTCTTCTTATAATTAATAAATACTGCTTCTGTAACAAGAAATTTTTATAAAACTATATTACAACATATGTAAAACATGTATAAAATTGCTTCCCCAATTAGGAATATTTTCAGGTTAATGGCTGCACTAAATAAGTATGTAAATCATGGTGCCTGACACATGTACCGCCTATTCTAAGGGAAATTGGTCTACCTCACTGCTGCTGAGGGAACAAGCTCAGATACTCTTTCTTTGTTCCAGATAACCCTGTCCTTTGCTCCTGGTTCACAGCTGATTGGTGGTTTATCTGAAGTAAGGGAAGCCATTCCATAGGCTAATAGCAGCCCATGATGTTCTGGCACAAAAAGCTCTACCCAAACATGAATAAGATGGTTAAGAATCTCATTTTCAAAAATTCAGAAATATGGAAAGAATCAGGCTGGAGTTAAAAATATGGAGGTATTTCCAGAAACATGGAAAGAATAAAACTACAAGCAGAAATATTTCCAGAAGTGTAGAAAGACTCAGAGAATACAGAAGAAGTTGAAAGGACTGTCAGAAGAAAAGACATGAAGTAGAATCAAGAGGCCATGAACAAGTTAAAATGGTAAGGCAGAAAAAGAGGTAAGGTTGTGGGAAGGAAAAAAAAAGAAGTAAACAAAGGGAGAGTAACTGAATTATGTTTATGCAATATTAGATTCAGGAGGTCCTTAAAGCTATCTTTATAACAACTCTTAAGTTTCAATTTCCTTAAGTACAGCAGCTAAAATGCCTGTATTTCCATAAGATTCCATTTTCCTTTTGGCCATAAGGATCCTCACAATAAATCCCTAATCTGTGTGTTAGCCTTTGTGAAGGTTAAATAAGTGCACAGAGGAAAATCATATATATATTTAAAATATATATATATCCCTGAAGTCACTATCATTCAGAACACTGGAGAGATTCCAGATTTGATCCAGTCTGGCATTCTTTACAGTCATGTCATTATGATCTTCATCTTAGAGAAAAATTTTATCTAAAAGGAAACCCTTCCCCTGAAATGCTGAGAATTAATGACACCACTAATGGATCCTCCCTTTACTGACTCATTCATTTAAATACTAAGTAACTACTGTATTCAAGACAGAAAATTAAAACAAAAAAAATTTTTTAAAGAGTACTTCTTATAAAGTAGCTTACCTTCATTGGGAGATGATATATTTTAAATAAAAGGTAATCTATAATTCCTGACATGGACAGATGTCCAAAGATGTATACTTAAGAGAAAAACATCAAATTCTAGGACTGTATATATATATATATATATATATATATAGCATGATCCAGTTTTATAAAACAAATAAATTTAATGTGCTTGCATATGTTTACAAGAAAGGCTGGAAAGATAAACACCAAACTATTCCCTCTAGAGGGATATATATATATATACACACACCTACATACATATATATATACACACACACACCGTATTTTTATACAAATAATGCATGCCTTCTATGTTTGTTTGCCAACTGCTCCCTCCTCCCGCAAGGTACTTTCTTAAGCGCGCTATGCTAATAAGGTAGTGGTCCATGGAATGGGTGATAAGAGATGGGCTAGTAGCAAGTGTATCACTTTGTAGGAAGGAATTGGAGACTTAGATAGATGAGTTTAAGCAAACTCACTACAGAACCTGCCAATTCATGTTACAATAGCTCAAACCCATGAATGAAAGAATCAGTACCTTCTTCTCTATTGTACGGGGGAAATTTATGTGTGTGTGTTTTATATTTTTTGCAAGTATAGTAATTAGTAAACTTCTCAAGAATACATAAATAAGTGGTGCACATCTCTGCTTAGGAATAATTATTTTAAGCTTAAAATGGCTTGACTTTTAGCTGCTGCTAGTTTGAATGAAGATTCATTTCAGCCCTAAGAAAACTTTTAAAAGTGAAAGCAAACAAGACTTCGCTAAAATGAAGTCTGACTTAAATGGCAGGTTTAATTAGCAACTGAGCCCTAATCACCCAGCTAACAATGTTGTCGTTGTTATTGTTGATAGGTGAGGTTGAGACAGTTCCGACACATAGCAACCCTATCTACAACTGAACGAAACACTGCCCGGTCCTATGCCATCCTCACAATCTTTGATATGTTTGAGCCCATTGTTTCAGCCACTGTGTCAATCCATCTTGTTGAGGGTCTTCCTCTTTTTTGCTGACCCTCTACTTTATCAAGCATGATATTCTTCTGCGACTGGTCCCTCCTGATAACATGTCCAAAGTACATGAGATGAAGTCTCACCATCCTCGCTTCTAAGGAGCATTCTGGCTGTGCTGCTTCCAAGACAGATTTGTTCATTCTTCTGGCAGTTCATGGTATATTCAATATTTTTCGCCAACACCATCATTCAAAGGCATCAATTCTTCTTCAATCTTCCTTATTCATTGTCCAGCTTTCACATGCTTATGAGGTGACTGAAAACACCATGACTTGGGTCAGGCGCACCTTAGTCCTCAAAGTAACATCTTTGCTTTTTAACACTTTAAAACGGTCTTTTGCAGCAGATTTGCCCAATGCAATGCGTCTTTTGATTTCTTGACTGCTGCTTCCATTGGCATTGACTGTAGATCCAAGTAAAATGAAATCCTCGACAACTTCAATCTATTCTCTGTTTATAATGATGTTGCTTATTGGTCCCATTGTGAAGATTTTTGTTTTCTTTATGTTGAGGTGCAATCCATACTGAAGGCTGTAATCTTTGATCTTCACCAGTTAAGTGTTTCAAGTCCTCTTCACTTTCAGCAAGCAAGGTTGCATCAGCTGTATATCGCAGGCTATTAATTAGTCTTCCTCCAATCCTGATGCTGTATTCTTCTTCATATAATCCAGGTTTTGGGATTATTTGCTCAGCATACAGACTGAATAAGTATGGTGAAAGATACAATCCTGATGCCTACCTTTCCTGATTTTAGATCACGCAGTATCCCCTTGCTCTGTTCAAACAATTGCTACTTAGTCTATCTACGGATTTGGCATGAGCACAGTTAAGTGTTCTGGAATACCCATTCTTCTCAACGTTACCCATAATTTGTTATGATCCACAAAGTTGAATGTCTCTGCTCAGTCAATAAAACACAGGTAAACATCCTTCTGGTATTCTCTGCTTTCAGCCAAAATTCATCTGACATCAGCAATGACATCACACATTTCAAGTTTTCTTCTGAATCTGGCTTGAGTTTGTGGTAGCTCTCTATCGATGTACTGTTGCAACCGTTTTCGAATTATCTTCAGTAAAATTTTACTTGCATGTGATATTAATGATACTGTTCGATAATTTCCACATTCTGCTGGATCACCTTTCTTTGAAATGGGCACAAATATGGATTTTTTCCAGTCAGTTGGCCAGGTAGCTGTCTTCTAAATTTCTTGGCAAGTAAGTGCTTCCAACATTGCTTCCGCCTGCTGAAACATCTCAATTGGTATTCTGTCAATTCCTGGAGCCTTGTTTTTTTGCCAATGTCTTCAGTGCAGCTTGAACTTCTTCCTTCAATACCACAGGTTCTTGATCATACGCTATCTCCTGAAATGGCTGAACGCCAACCAATTGCTTTTGGTACAGTGACTCTGTGTATTCCTTCCATCTTCTTTTGATGCTTCCTGCATCGTTCAATATTTTCCCCAACGAATCCTTCAGTATAGCAACTTGAGGCTTGAATTTATCCTTCGGTCTTCTTAGCTTGAAAAATGACAAGTATGTTCTTCCTTTTTGGTATTCTAACCCCAGGTGTTTGCACATTTCATTATACTTTACTTTGTCTTCTCGAGCTGTCCTTTGAAATCTTCTGTTCAGCTCTTTCACTTCATCATTTCTTCCTTTCGATTTAGCTACTCTACATTCAACAGCAAGTTTCAGAGTCTCTTCTGACATCCACTTTGATCTTTTCTTTCTTTCCTGTCTTTTTAACGACCTTTTCCTTTCTTCATGTATGATGTCCTTGATGTCATCCCATAACTCACCTGGTCTTTGGTCATTAGTGTTCAATGTGTCAAACGTATTTTTGAGATGGTCTGTAAATTCAGGTGGGATATACTCAAGGTCGTACTTTCGCTCATGTGGACTTGTTTTAATTTCCTTCAGCTTCAACTTGAACTTGCATACGAACAATTGATGGTCTGTTCCACAGTAGGCTCCTGGCCTTGTTCTGACTGATAATATTGAGCTTCTCCAAAATCTCCTTTCATAGGTGTAGTTGATTTGATTCCTGTGTATTCCATGTGGTGAGGTCCATGTGTATAGTCACCATTTATGTCGTTGAAAAAAGGTATTTGAAGTGAGTAAGTCATTGGTCTTACAAAATTCTGTCATGCAATCTCTTGCATCACTTCTATCACCAAGGCCATATTTTCCAACTACCGATCCTTCTTCTTTGTCTCCAACTTTCACATTCCAATCACTAGTGATTATCAGTGTATCTCGACTGCCTATTTGATCAATTTCAGACTGCAGAAAGAAGTTGGTAAAAATCTTCAATTTCTTCATCTTTGGCATTAGTGGTTGATGCATAAATTTAAATAATAGACATATTAACTGGCATGTGGATATTATCCTATTACCGATAGCAGTGTACTTCAGGATAGATCTTGAAATGTTCTTTTTGACAATGAATGCGTCGACATTTCTCTTCAATTTCTCATTCCTGGCATAGTAGACCATATGACTGTCTGATTCAAAATGGCCAATACCAATCCATGTTGGCTCACTAATACCTAGTGTGATCATTAATGTGTGTCAACTTGGCTGGAACATGATTCTCAGTGATTTGGCAGTTATGAAGTAGTTTGGCAGTCGTATACTGATATAATTACCTCCATGATGAGAACTTATACAATGTGATCACCTCCGTGACGGGATCTGCTGTGAGTAGCCAACCATTTGAAAGGAAGTTTCCTTGGGGCTGTAGCCTGCATCCACTATAGGTGGACTTTCTGGTAAAGCTCACTGGCATTTGCTCTGCTCTGGATCTTGCAGGTGGCTCCTATTCATCTGACCTCTGGTTCTTGGAACTTGAGCTAGCAGCTTACCTGCGAATTTGGGATTCGTCAGCCTCTGGAGTTTGTGAGCCAGCAGTCTGCCAGCTTATCTTCTTATCTTGGGATTTGTTGGCCTCTGCAGCCTGTGAGCCAGAGGTCTGTTGTCTGACCTGCCAATCTTGGTGCCACCAGCCCCTGCACCTATGTAAGTCAGGAGAAGCCTCCAGCCTGACCCACGGACTTGGGACTTTCCAGCCTCTACAACCGCATGAGCCAATTCCTTGATATAAATCTCTCCCTCTCTTTATATGTATGTATGTATATACAAATACACACACACACACACACACACACACACACACACATAAATATTAAGGATGCTTCACTGGTTTTTCTTCTCTACAGAACTCAGCCTAAGACACCTAGGATATGTATCTTCAAGCATTCCATTTCGTTTTTGACAACTTCACATTTTCCTAGATTCATACTGTGTACATTTCACATTGCAGTTGTTTCTTCTCATTTTGAGTCATGCCACACCAGCAAATGAAGGTCCTAAAAGCTTTACTCCATCCACATCATTAAAATTGACTCTACTTTGAGGAGGCAGCTATTCCCCAGTCATACTTTGAGTGCCTTCCAACCTCAGGGGCTCATCTTCCAGCACTATATCAGACAATGTTCCGCTGTTATTCATAATTTTCACTGGCCAGTTTTTTTAGAAGTAGATCCCCAGGTACTTCTACCTAGTCTGTCTCAGTCTGGAAGCTCCAATGAAACCTGTCCACCATGGGTGACCCTGCTGGTATTTGAAACATCAGTGGCATAGCTTCTAGCATCACAGCAACACACAAGCCACTACAGTACGACAAACTGACAGATGAATGGTGGAAGCTCACAATAGCTATAGGCAATGGGTTTCCAGGTTTTCTTCAACATACAACCTAAGTAGCTCCTAATCGGCAGAAACAAATTTACAGTAGGTCCAGAGACATTCTTGTAAGCAGCTTTACAAAAGGGTCAGCTTTGAACAGGAAATACAGGTCGAAATTTACATTAACTTTTAGAGAAAAAAATCTTTATCAGTATACAGGTAGTCCTCGACTTAGGACTGGATTCTATTCCAACGACTCTGTCATAAGTCAGTTCTAAAGTTAAGTCGAATACCTCATTTTTTTTTTTTTTTAGTTTTCATTATTATTGCCTTTTATTATCAGTATCTTTATAAATTGGATCTTTATCTGTCTTTGGGGATTGGAAACATTACATATAAACTCACAGATATATTTTATTACATACATACATAAAAAAGGACACAAATCATAAAAATTTACTCCAATGAAGAAGAGTTGGGTGATGTTGGCATTTTGTCCATTACAGTAATAACTCCACTTGTGGAAGGTTCTGGATCATCTGGATTATCTCTGGGAATGGGGATCATGTTTCTAGTCAGAAAATTACTGAGAGTTGTCTGTTTTGTCCTTTTCGTTTTTTCTTCACATATTTCTCGGTAACATCTCACTCCTTCCCAAATCTGCCTGTTGACGTCAGCAAAGCAATCGGCATTTGGGTCCATGTTTTCAAGAAACTGAAGCCCCTGATTTAGTTTAGAAAACTGTATCTATATGGCAGTGTTTTGAATAGTAAATCATAAAATTGAACATCTGCGGGTGAATACCTGAGAATAATATCAGAAAAAATACACGCTGCAACATTGTACGTAGTACATATTACTAATGATAAGATGTATGAAAAAAAATAGGATGATCATTAGTGTGATTCATTATAATTCGATATGTAGTAAGTAGTGGACTATCTGTACATATTAAGTTAATGTAAACATTATAATCAATAATAAAAAAAATTCCAAAGTTGGTAACAATCTGATAGTTTTGACTGTAGCCATCTAAAAGAAGTAGTATCATCAATATTAACTGTCTCATTCTTACTCTGTGGCAATCATCTACATTCATGTACCTTTTAGATACTCTGATGAAATGGTCAAAACCTACTTAGTACTAGAAACTATCATCTATTTGCTGCTTGTTATGTAGTATATTTCACACACACCCCAATAATTCCAAAATCTTACTAGATGCAGTAGAAGCTGCTCCATTTGCTCCAGGGAATTTTAATCCAAATCTCAAAGTTATACCACCAAGTGTTCCAGCTGAAAATGTTGGGGCACCAACTGCAGAGAACAACACAGTATTACCTATTAACTTTTTAACAACAGTGAGGAATTTATATGGAATTATTTTCATCTGATCACTCCTTTAGAAACTTTTGGTTAAACTTCAAAAAACTATGGTCAATCCATTTATATGAAATGTCCAGAAAAGGTAAATGTATGGAGGCAGATTGCTAGTTGTTTGGGACTAAAGGATCTTATTGGGACAATGGAAATGTTCTAAAACTGGATATGGTAGTGGCTACATAATTCAGTGATTTTACTAAAAATCTTTGAATTCTACACTTAAAATAAGTGCATTTTATGACATATAAATTATTCCTCATTAAAGATAATTTTAAAAAACACTATCGTCAAAATTTCTTTTCATCTTGTAGGTAAGGACATCAAAGAAAGGAAGGGAAAAAATGCCTGTCAAAGGCTAGAGAGCAAGTCTTTGATTGAATATGGAATTCAAGAATTTTACTCTGAACCTCAGATATGGTCATATTCATAAAATCTATCATAGTTGAGAAGATATTGCTCACATATATCAAAAAGTTTCCAGAATCACAGTCATGTCTCAAAATTCAAGTCTACTTCGTAGAAAATGCAACTCGTGTGATAACCAGCAAGTTTTTTTATTGTTGTAGTTTAAATGAAGTTTACATTTCAAGTTAGTCTCCCATACACAAATTTATACATACATTGTTATATAACCCTAATTGCTCTCCCCATACTGCGACAGCACACTCCTCCTTTCCACCCCTGATTCCCCATGTACATTCAACCAGCTCCTAACCCTGTCTGCCTTCCCATCTCACCTCCGGACAGAAGCTACCCATTTAGTCTCTTGTATCTACTTGAGCTAAGAGGCACACTCCTCACGAGTATCACTTTATGTCCCACAGTCCAGTCCAATCCCTGTCTGAAGAGGTGGCCTCGGAAATTGTTTTAGTTCTGGGCTGATAGAGAATCCGGGGGCCATGCTTTCCAGGGTTCCTCCAGTCTCAGGCAGACCATTAAGTCTGGTCTTCTTACCAGAATTTGAGTTCTGCACCACACCTTTCTCCTGCTCCATCAGGGACTCTCTGTTGTGTTCCTGTCAGGGTGGTCATTGGTGGCAGCCGGGTACCATCTAGTTCTTATGGTCTCAGGCTGATGAATTCTCTGGTTTATGTGGCCCTTTCAGTCTCTTAGGCTAATACTTACCTTGTGTCTTTGGTGTTCTTCATTCTCCTTTACTCCAGTGGTTGAGACCAATTGATGCATCTTAGATGGCCACTTGCAAGCTTTTAAGACCCCAGATGCCACTCACCAAAGTAGGATGCAGAACATTTTCTTAATAAGCTTTGTTATGCCAATTGACCTAGATGCCCCCTGAAAGCATGGTCCTCAGATCCCTAACCCTGCTACTCTGTCCCTCAAAGTGTTTGACTGTATTCAGGAAACTTCTTAGCTTTGGTTTAGTCCAGTTGTGCTGACTTCCCCTGTAGTGTGTGCTGCCCTTCCCTTCACCTGAGGTGATTCTTATCTACTATCTAATTAGTAAATAACCCTAACCCTCCCTCCCCACCCTCGTAACCATCAAATGTTTTCTTCTGTATTTAAACCTTTTCTTGAGTTCTTATAATAGTTGTCTTATACAGTATTTGTCCTTCTGTGACTGACTAAATTCACTCAGCATAATGACCTCCAGATTCCTCCATGTTATAAGATGTTTCACAGCTTCATCATTGTTCTTTATTGTTGCATAGTATCCCATTGTGTGGGATAATTTGTTTATCCATTTGTCCATTGATGGGCGTCTAGGCGGTTTCCATCTTTTTGCTATTGTCAACAGTGCTGCAATGAACATGGGTGTGCATATATCTATTCATGTAATGGCTCTTATTTCTCTAGGATATATTCCAAGGAGCGGGATAGCTGGATTGTATGGTACTTCTATTTCAAGCTTTTTAAGGAAGCGCCAAATCGATTTCCAAAGTGGTTGTACCATTTTACATTCCCACCAACAGTGTATAAGTGTTCCAGTCTCTCCACAACCTCTCCAG